ACTACGATTTGCCGTTATCTCTCGTTTCTCTTCTCTTCTCTCTTCTTTGCCATTTGGGAACAAAGGTAAGCCGTATCGAAGCAAATATTGCGAGCAATATTATTAACGACGGAACGACGGAATAAGATAAATCGAGACGAACTTACGTCGAGAAGAAGAGAATTGTTCAATGGATGTAATGGGCCGTCGTATTCGGCGAGTTCGACTTCCGACAAGTCAACGCTGATATACGTAGGTTTTAACGTTTCCTCGTACTACGATCGAGAAAGGTTTTTATAAAATTATATTTTTGTAAATTATAAAACGTAACATATGTGTGTAACATATACTTACGTCTACGTTTCCCGGCTGCGTCGATAGAAAGAAATGGAACGATGAGTCAAGTCACGAAGATTCATTTCGAAATGAATTTTTTGTCTAAGACGGGGAGATCTTTTGTTGAAATTTACTGCTACTCACCAATGGTCGCAAATCCGGATGATATAAAACACGGCCGTTATTGTCGACGATAAAAGAATATCCGTTGACACCTAACTGCACAAATCGACGATATATCGGAGATTAATTATAATTGTTGTTAATTTGTAAACGATGATATTGAGCAGGATTTTGCTTACCTTGTAAGGAGGAACCAATTTCTGTATCTCTTCGACGGGTACATCGGTGCCGACGATACCCAATAAATTAGCTGTCTTCACCTGCGATATCCCGATTACGATTATATTAATAATTGTGAGATGTATCGATTGTACGTACGTGTTCGAGTATATTTTATAATTGAACGTATATGAAAATGTAAGAAAATACAAATAATATGCAAATTATCGTATTACGTATCCTTTGATTACCGTATAATTTCGTCGATCTAAAATAGGCGCTGTGACCGACGTCATTAACTGTCCGATATTCTCTTTGCCATATCTGCTGCTCTAAAACGGAAAGAAAAGTTACTTTTAAATAATATATAGGAAATGCACGATCAAAGAGAAAAGTGAGAATCTTCGATTTGCACACCTTTCCACCAACGTAAACCGGACTCCAATGAATAGGGTGTTCGTGTTGATACAACACCATAGGTCGAGCAAGCACCTTCACGTATTCGAAAACTTTGCTTCTAATGTCTTCCAATTCGGTGATCCTTGCATAGAATCCTAATTACGTGTATAAATACGATTCGAACGAATTTTGCAAAATTGTATCCATTTTTGTCGAATGGAAGAGAAAGAAAGAAAGAAAGAAAGAAAGAAAAGGAAATAAGAAAAGAAAGTAGGCTTACCTTTGTTGGCGCATGCTGTGTTCCGTAATTCCGGACTTTTGTCACCACCGATCAGATACGTGAAGATACGGACAGGCATATGAGGCCAGTTGTATCGTTTTATCACCTCTGTAGGTAAACCGGCATTGTCGGCAGTAATTAACATGATCGCCTGATTGCATTGACTTCCTTGTCCCGTTCTGTTATATCTGTGCAAAATTTCAAAAGCGGTCGCGAGAGCAGCGGATATATTTGTCGGTGTTTCTTCGTGTTTCACAGAACTCATCGCTATCTTCAAATCTTGTACGTTTTCTGGGGACGCTTGCACCAAACTATCTTTAAAGCATTGTACGATCTCCTCTGCGGTGTCCCCGTAACGATAAACGTTAACGTAATCGTTCGGACCTAACGTGTCGAGGATGGTTTTGACCGTGGTTACGGCTAGACGTTTGTTCCTTTCCGATACGTAGCATTCCATGTCGATCAATATAGCCAAATCTTTGGGACTATTTGCGGCTCCGACGAACCAATCGGAAATTCGAAATTCGTATACGTCTCGAATAGGTCGATTTTTATCTGCACCGAAAGCACGATCGTTGGCAGGTGGCCAGGAAATTGCTAGGAGAAGAAGAGAAGATGCGGTGGTGACGAAACGACAGAGTTGAAATTAACGAAAGACAAAAAGAAATTTTCGATTCGATTACCGGGGAAACGTCTTAAAAATCCTGAAGTTGCGCCGTAATATTGCCAAGAAAGGGAAGAATCGCTTTCGTAATTATTAGCGAACAATAAATCCAAATATTCGCTCCATTGAATGCCAGCGGCTACTTCGCGATCTGAAAGAAAGGAAATATTAAGATTTCTCTCTTCGATTGAATACGCAATTTTCTTTTTTTTTTTACTTACCGATCTGTTTCACTCCGTCCGGTAATAAAACCGTGGAAAGTGTAATGTTCACGGGTAAATGATCGAAATGTCGATTCGATGAAAGGAAAGTTTCTTGTCCGGTTATCGATGCTTTTCCCTCTCCCGAAGAAGAGTCGAAACGTTGAGAAGCGTAATATTTCGGTGCCACATTTCCGTCTCTGGGTGCCGATACAGCCGCTTGTTCGGCGCTCTCCACCAATCTCTGCAATTGCAGACGTGTAAATTGATACCATAATACATAATTGGATGTATTTCGTTTCTCGCGATACGATAATTCCATTTTCTTACCATAACAGCGTTCATTTTAAAATCTAACATATTTTTTACTTCCGCAGCCATCTCTCGCACTAACAGGACACCATCTTTTTTTACAACTTCGGCCTCCATATCGTGGTATTTCTACGATCAAAGTAAGATCGAGTATGTGAGTTTTTCATATACTTCGTGTTATGTTTGTCAATTATTTTCCTTCCAACATATATATATATAGAGAGAGAGAGAATAGTTTTTAAAGAATCGAATTAAGAGGTAAAAAAAAGTTGTAAACAAAAATGTTACAAGCGATTGAAATTTGCGTTGCGACGAAGCAGAGATGTAGAATGTTTTGCAACCAACGTATATATACATAACTCGTTAACTTTCTGTCAAAATAATAATTGAAATAAATATCAAAGATTTTTATCAATAAAAATAAAAATACGTAATAACGAAATAAATTGTTTAATTCAATTGTTAATTTCAAATCGATAACGACTAGGAAAGAATATAAGATGTACAAAAGATAAATCGTGTTATCTATTCACGAGCAAATTTTCTTACCCTTTGTATTTCGCTCATTTTCGTAACTTGCCTGCCAAATTCCCATAAATCCACTCCAAATTTCAACGCCCAGTTTTTCACTCTGCAATGTAACAAGATAATAATCGTTTATTCCGTGACACGAACCTTTTGAAAACCCTTAATTTATCTTTTCTTCGATTCTTCGAAAAAAAATTCGATGATCTTTGGTGGATGATATTTTTCCATTGTGTTCAAGGACAAGGAAAAAAGGATAAAAAATGCGAATTAATTTAATTTTAATTTCGAAGATAAATATCGATGATGAGTAATTGCAAATATATATCGTTAAACGCATAGGGAAAAAAGTAAATTGCATATCGTTGGATCGATCTGATTAATTGGATCTGAATTTGGCAAAAATGAGACGCGCAAAGACAATTGATCCGATGGATATAGATCCGTTTCAACGAAAATCAACGATTATTCCGCCTACCACCTTTTATACGTTATATATCTTAACGCGTAAATTAGTACCATTGATGCAATCGTATGTACGTAGTTACGTGCATGCTCACGTGCGCACGCACGTAGGTCGTACGCATACACGCCGATTCTGATCCTCGTTAATCGACTGTGTACGCATAACTCTACGCGCGCCTGCGTTCTTTCCAATTCTCGTTTTTTTTTCTGTCCACGATTATCGAAAATGTTGATATATAAATCAAATTAGAGACACGACAAACGAATATATACAATGTCGTATCACACGCTGTGATATCGCATCTTTTTCTCGCCTCCTCTTCATTCCCTAACCACGTTCGATACTTTTTAATTTTAATTTTTTTCATTGATAATTACGTTCGATCAATTACTATGCTATACGTAAGTAATGTAAATAAGCGGGATGCGCGTATTAAACGAAAAGAAGATACTTTTTCCTTCGGATATCCTATCCTACCCTTTCGATATTCTCCACGTTTTTTTTTTTTTTTTTTTTACTTTATTTTACCGGCTTAATCGAATCGATCTACATTTGTACAATATTACTACTAGTTACTACTTCGATTGCTAAATTGTCGTAAACCTGAAAGAGTTATGCCCAATATATGTAAAGAAAATGATTCTTACTCGTTATGAGGTATATCCTCTTCTTGTTGATAACTTGATTTGATCCATAACAGTAACAGCACTCCACAGTGTACAAATTTTTTGACGGATAGAAACATTATTTCGATGCTATCGACCAACACCCGAATGCGAGTAAATGATGAAACCACGAACGAACCAATCTTTTAAAAGAAACGTATACGTTAATTTAAACTTAACTTCACGGGAAAAAAATTAGTCTTACCGCTCCCTCGTAGTAGCGATCGATCGGCCGGAACACGCGAGTCAGCGTTACGTGCGTAAATTTACCGTTTCGATGGAATCTTGTTTATCCGTTATTTGATACACAACTTTGTAACGCTCGTATACGCTAGTACGTAGAAGTTTGTATATATGTATCTTCACCTTCTTTCATCTTCTTCCTTTAACATTTTTTTCCGTTACACCTGACGATCGAAACTACGCTAATAGAATGGTTGTTGAACGTCAAAAATTCCTTTCATTTCGTTACGCACGTTTTCAACGTTTTCTTCTCATAAATACTTGAAAGTATTCTTACGCCAAGCATTGTCCGATCGAACTTTAAATCTCTATCTTTCAATTCCAAATCGAATCATTGTTCAAACGTGACAGCGAGACGACATAACGCAACGACGACGACGACAATGACGACGACGATGACAACGACGAGGACGACGACGACGAAGACGACGGCGATAATCACGACGATCACAGCGAGAACGATGACGAGAATGATGACAATAATCAAGACTTAAGCAAAAAAAAAATAAAAAGTAATTGATTAATTCAAGTTTAACGGCACGTAATGATTCACCTCCAACATGCAGCTCTTTTGATCGTAAACATTTTACGGAACAGCAACCAAAGTTCCTCTAACAATTGAATTGATTGAAAAATAAAAGCGTCTTCGACGTACGCGCGTATGAATACCCGATCGACCGATCGCCCGAAGGACCGAACGACTAACCAAGAGATAAAAACGAAAAAAAAAACGATCCTACGTCAAACCACCTCCCGTACTCGTAAGTCGGTGTTTCCTCTTTATTATCGTATCCTTCCCAAATCAACGTATATTTTCCTTTTCACGAATAAATTAGACATGGTTCAATGCGACGTCGACACAATTCATTTGTGCGATTCACGATTGCACAACCGATTACCGCCTTGTCGCGCGATCTCTCAAGTATGTTCACACCGTAACGCGCAGAGAACCCGAAGAATGAAGGACGAGGGTGGGACAAGAGAGTAATTGTAGAGAGAGAGAGAGAGAGAGAGAGAGAGAGAGAGAACGACGGGAGGGGTGGATACGATGACGAAAGGAAGGGGAAGTACGGAGGAGGTAGAAAGAAAAGAAAAATGATAAGAAAA